GAGAACTGGGGACTTCTGCGGAATGAAGTCTGGGCTTCGCAGAAGGACACTAACCTGTGTGTAGAGAAGAATGGGGAAGAATCTCTCTCTCTAGATGTTTTCTGATTTTTTCTGACTTACGCGCCCAGCAAATAGAACTGCTCTAAGAGTATGCCTTTGATGTGTGGTCGGAGCTGCTGCGGAAAGCCGAGAATTCCGTGGTGGAAAAATCCCTATTCTAATTTGAACACCGCTTTGCAAAGTCAACTCCGAAGTTTTCAGAAAGATTTCATGGTCCACTGCCTCTGGGATAAAGTTGAAACTCCTGGGCCAGCCCTGGGTGGAGCCGGAGGAGGGTCAGGGCCGCGCGAGTGGCTGGAACTTGGTCCAAGCTTGACTAGTTACTTCCCCGTTGAGCCTCATGTGCTCTTTTCTGAGACGGGGTTAACGATAACATCTAAACCCTTAAGGTTTTTGTGAAGAGTGAAGGAGGTCATGAAAATAGAGGGTCTGACCTCCCCAAACTCTGAAGTCCTCGCTCTCTCTCCCCGCTTCTTACCGCCTTTCCTCTGGACTTGTTAGGTCATACTCAGAGGCAGGCCCCGGCGTAAACATGGAGTCGTGAATTCCACGAGGTTCCAGTCTTCAAGGAACACATCATACCTGCTAGAACGCACAGCCAAGGAGATTGGTAATGATGTGGCACCGGCTGTGCTGATGGAGTCCGAGAGGGAAGGTCTAATCCGGACAGTTTCCACTGTCCCTCTGGGTCTGAGCAGCACCTTCCCCAGCTTTTATGAATACGGCTGTTTTCATAGCCATTGCGTCTCTGCCCAGGAGCGTCCTTCAGCGTGTGGGGGAGGGGGTGTGCACAACAGCAGAGAGAGAGAGCTCACCAGGGGCTCGTGGCCTCCCAGGAGAATCCAAGGGGATTCAGGCAGCCACTGGTCTGCTCCTGGGCCACCATCCATGAGGGAAGCGCTAAAGGGGGAGAAGATGGCTACCGTCCAGAGATGGGGACAAGGGGCCTTATGGGTGACCATCTCCAGCTCCGGCTCAGGGAAGACAGGCCTGCGGGAGAGTGTTTCTCATATGTGGGTCACTTCACAGTCAAGTTGTCAGAAGGGATGATAAACTGAGTTTGTCTGGAGGCAGAATATTTGAATAGGGTGGGGTCTGTTGAATACTCCACCTCTCCTTTGGGTCCTCCAAAGGCCCTGGGGGTGGCTATTTGGGTGTTGGGCAGGCAGGGTTCCTCAGTGGTGGGGGCAGTGGCCAAGAATCAAAGGGCCTCCGTCCACCCAACTCACGGAGTCTTGGAGGGCACGAGTGCGAGCCCAGCAGGCCCTGTCCAGTGGATGCAGCCTGTCAACTGCCCCCCCCCCGGCCCCCGTCTCTCTCCTGAGCACAAAAGCCTGTTGTCTGGGGAGCTCAGAGAGTGGGCACAGACCATCCTCTTTTCTCTGTGTCATTAATGTAATCTATTTGATCTTGAGGGTGGTTTTGTTCCAGTCTCTCAAGGGAGTGGGGGGAGGGAAGGAGGCACGTCTTCTGACTTTAGAGACTAGAAACACTTAAACGTGACGATTAAGGCCAAGAGGAAACACGTCTTGGGTCCTCGTTTCCTGGTCAGGAAAGAGCTAATAGTCAACGTCTCTTGGACAGTCCCCTCTTCTTCGGAATGCAACTGTGTTTCTTATCATTATTGCTAACAATACAACAGTTGTTTACGTTTATTTATGCACCCCTAGCCTCTCTTTCGAGAGGGTTTTGACATACCAGTAAAATAGGTTTACAATGAATACATGAAGGAACCATGGCTAAGAGAAAAGAAAAACAGAAGAGACAAGACAGTAACAGAGTAAAGGTAAGAAGACAAATTTGTCCCTCTAGAGGTCTGGGCAGTAGCTGGATGTGGGCCAGGACGCAATTCTGAGCTTCCTGGTAACCACGGTAATGAGGGAAACACTCATATCCGTGGTGTGCGTCATCAACAAGAAACGCGGCTGCCTCAAAAGCAGGCTCTTTATGATATATTAAGAAATAATATCAATAAAATTCTCTAAAAGATCTAGATATTGGGAGATAGGCTCCTTCGGGAACTCTTCACTTCATAAATATCTTTAGGGCAGCATTTTCTTTTTTCTTTTTTTTTTTTTTTAAATTTTTTTTAACGTTTATTAATTTTTTGGGGACAGAGAGAGACAGAGCACGAACGGGGGAGGGGCAGAGAGAGAGGGAGACACAGAATCGGAAACAGGCTCCAGGCTCCGAGCCATCAGCCCAGAGCCCGACGCGGGGCTCGAACTCACGGACCGCGAGATCGTGACCTGGCTGAAGTCGGACGCCCAACCGACTGCGCCACCCAGGCGCCCCAGGGCAGCATTTTCTGAATTGTGTTCCGTGAAACACTGATTCTGGGGTGCATCAAGAGGTGTTCCCCCCCCAAAGAAGAAGTGTTCCCCCAAATCAGACACTGTGGCCAGATGAACATAATTACTTTTCACACTTAATTTCCCTCTTGGAGATTTGCAATGCCTCCATTCTCCTGAGGACTTGAAAGAGTCTGAGGAAAAGAAATGGGGTAAATTTCATTCAAATAATTATTTCCCAGAGTTTTTTGGTGACAGTACCAGAATTTGGAGGAACCTCTGGTTTTCCTGGGGCCCTTTTGTGGGAAGTGGGGTACTCTCTAAAAGCCAGGCTCTGTGTCTTCAGGAGAGTTAGTGTGTGCATAAGATTCCTTCCTGGGCTTCCTCCACCTTCTGCCCTGCCCTGGGTGGAGGGGGGCGACTGGGCTCCCTCAGCAAGAGCATCACAGGGACCACCAGGGTCTGATCCCAGCTCCTGCCGGCACCTGGGGGCCCTTGCAGGGCCTTCGGAGTTAAATGTCTACATGACGAACGAAACCCCCCTTGCCGATGTTGGCCCGTCTTGTTTCATGAGACTTCTGCCGACAAGCTTCAGTCTCCATTTCACCTAAGACTCCCCAGGTGCCCCCGGGGCGTGGTGGGGAAAAGCAGGGCAGAAGGTGGGAGAACGCCGTCTTGCCACGTCGAGGCAGCAAGATTAATAAATGATACATATCTGTGGGATCTCAACAGGGGCAGGAGGCTGGCAGTTCCGGGTCGGCTTCTTGGAGGAAGTGACACTTTAACAAAGATTTAAAAGATTGGCAGGAGTCATACAAAGGAGAAGGTATGGGGTCCCATTTGGGGCCTGGCTGGAACAAATGGTCAGAATTGGCTCTGGGGGGGAACAAATGGCAGGGACCAGGCTGCTGGAGAGGAGCAGGAGACGGAGGGCCTGGCTGACAAGCTTGGGCTTCCTGGTCTAGGGACCAAGGGGAGGCACTGAAGGACCCCCAGGGGGGATGGCAGGGCTTTTCTGTTAGAAAGAGCCTCTTAGTGATGTTGGACGGTGACACAGAAGGACACATACGGACTGAGTGGCTGAGGCCAGGGTCCCCAGCCACCCGCCCAGGGCGACGGCTGCAGGAGAGGGGTGGGGCTCCAGCCTCCACCCTCGGTTCCAGTGGATAATGGGAGGACATGAGCTCTCCGTGCTCCCTGGAAGATTGGCTCTCTCTCTGGCTGGACGTCAGGACAAATTAAGGGCACTTGTCTCACAAGCCCCACCTGGCCGGCAGCATGGTCGGGCCAGGCTGGCAGGGGAGATGTGTCCCCAGCAGCATCTCGGACCTTGGCCACTGGCCTCGGAGCGAGAAAGGCTGTTCCTGCCCTGCCTGTTTAGTGAACGGTAGATAAAAGTACGAGAGACTATGGCAGCCAAAGACCTGTGTCAGTGTCACGGTCCGAGGTTTTCTGTGCTCATCAACGCGGCAAACAGAAGCCTCATGCCCTATCAGAGTCCCGGCTGGAGTACAGAAGCAGCCAGAGGCTGGGTGGCCAGGGGCTGGCCACCACATCCAGTATTTCCATCTTGCAAAGTGCGCTCACAAGAATGGTCTCATTTGATTTCTGTCTCAGTCGGTTCTGGCCGCTACAATAAAACTACCATAGACTTGGTGGGGGTTGGGAGGGCGCTTAAGCAACAGACATTTATCCTTCACGGCTCTAGAGACTGGGACCCCCAAGATCGAGGCACTGGCAGATTCGGTGTCTGGTGAGAGCCAGCTTCCTGGTCCACAGATGGCCTGTCTTCTTCATGTGTCCTCACAGGGCAGAAAAGAAGAGAAGGGACCTCTCTGAGGCTCCACCCTCGTGACCTAATTACCTCCCAAAGCCCACATCTCCTAGTCCCATCACACTGGGGGTTAGGGTTTCAACCTAAGGCTTCAGGGAGGAATAAACGTGTGTGCTATAGCACACTGCATTCTGCCCTCTGACGCTGACACTCCTTAAATCCCCATCACTACATCCCGTTATCCGGGCGGCCCTCCTGCATCTCCCCCTCTGGGCCAGTGCACCTGCTCCGTCCACTTACCGCCTCAGGTGACCCCTCTCGTGGCGTTTATGCCACATTCAGATCACGGCTTCATTTGTATTTTTCACTGCCTGTAGGCAGTGCCCTTCCTCCATCAGCTCTCAGAGGTATCCCATGCCGGGCACACACAGGGCTTCACCAATATTCGATGAATGAATGAATGAATGAATGAATGAAAAGCTTCACTTTCTCCTGGTTAAAAAAACCTTGATGCTCGGGCCTCGGGAAAACTTCCTCCACTCTTGGGGCAGCTGGGCTGGTAGGTCTAACTATGGGTGAATCCGAGCATTGGATTCACTCGTGTTGCCCAGCCGAGGACCTCGGTGGTTTCTGGAGTCTGTCCACCGGTATAAGCTTGTCAGGATTTGGGGCGAGCAGTTATTTTGGTGAATTATGGAGAGTCAGATATCAGCCAATGCCTGCTGATGCTTTGAGAGGGTGGGGATATGAGGGGCATTTTGAAAAATGACTTATTTTGAGGGAAGTGGTATGCTTGCTATGGAAATTTTATAAATGCAGATAAGCAAAATGAATTAAAAAAAATAAATGAATGAAACGGTTATCCTATCATTTAGGGCTATTGAGCACCTGGCCGGGCCACTCAGGTTTGAGTAGAGGGAGCCTGGACACCGCCTCTCAGTGGAGGAATGTGACCATCCCACGGCAGGGAGAGCATCCGGGAAGGAGACGCGCTGATGTGGCCATCGTTGGGGAATAGAACTTCTCACAATTAAATCTCAGTACGAACTGTTAAGATGGTCAATGAAGCTACAATTATTTCAGCTGGGAGTCCTTTATTGTTGCACTAAAGTACAAAAAAAAAAAAAAAAAAAAAAAAAAATCTTGGCTACATGGTGCACAACCGTCTGACCCCGTATAGCGCTTCTCGGGTTTCAAAAGCCACTTTGTTCGCCGCTCACAAGTTCCCAGTGGGGATCATCACCCCCGTTTTACAGCCATGGAAACTGAAGTCTAGAAGGGAATAAAGAATTTCTGCAGTGTCAGCACCTCGTGGACTCGGGAACAGATCTAAATATTCTGCTTCAATCCCAGAGGGCTGTCTTCTCCTCCACGTCGCCACTTACTGTGATTACAACCCCCCAGGGGTCACATTCCACACCCAGAAAATTGTAACACTGACCCAAAAGGTAAGACTTCCTTTTTAATGTTTTAACTTTAGCGTGGCCTTCAGCCTTTGACTCTAGAATGGTGTGTACTGAGTAAACATTCCCTCAGAGCTGGATGACCGGGGTTTGATTAGCGGAAGGAATGCTCGGCAGAAGGAACTGGGAAAAAGGGTGGCCCGGCATTTGAAAATGGCACCCAGTTCTTGAGTGAGCAAATATCTAAAAGTCTTTACCACTGTCTGGGCAGTCTAGGTGGGTGCCTACCTCTTGGTGAAAGTAATAGGACTTTGCAGACGATGATCTGGACCCTTGAAAGTCCTCCGGAGACCCTGGTTCTCTCACTCTCGGAGACCCCGCCCCACATCCTGTCATATGTGACGGGACTCCTTCGTTCCATATTATGTATTATGGGGTTTTTGTTATTTTGCTATAAAAAAGTTCAAAAGAACTCTGCAGTTTTGCTTTTAAAATTATTTAGCTATGGGTAACTTGATTAATTTACCATAAGGTCTTTTTCTTTTCTTTTTTTTTTTTTTTCCTTCTCAATCTATTTGGAAATTCATGCCACGTGCAAATATATAAACTCCACACTGTTTTCTAATGCAATGAAATGCTCACAAGTGATAAATTTAACAATTACGAAGTGGCATGGGACATAGTGTTAGCTTTTTAAGACAATTAATTAAACATTTACCTATTTTGATTTTGCTGTTTTGTTTTGTGTTTCAGAACCAGTTTTTGTTTTTTTTGTTTTTGTCAGCTCTCAAATTTTTTTTGTGGGACCCTTTAAAAAGCTCACAAGCTGGATCCTGGAGCTATGGAGCCTGGCCGATAAGATGATTCTGATTGCACAGAGCCTAGTGCTTTCTCAATGAAAAGGGTCCCCCAAGTCCCTATGGTTGTGTCGTCAGAGCTGAAGCCATGAAGAGAAGCCATTCCTCATTACGAAGTGTTTTTTTTGGGCCAAGGGTACACACTTGTCCTGCTCTAAATGCTGTTGCTGGCAGGGACCTTTGCCACTCAGTCAACAGACTGAGTCCAGGAGGATGACCGAATAATCCGGGAGGCTCTGAATTCGCCATCATTAATTCAGATGGTCCAATTCTGGTCATCAGTTCAGGTCGATCTGAAATACCAGTGGGCCAGAGAGTGTGATGAGGGAAAAACTTTTACAGAGAAGAAAATGGGCCAGGGACATGGACTTGCTTAAGCCCAGTCGTGGAAGGAGTTTGGGGTAGAGAAGGCCACTCACGTCATTAAAAAGCCCATGGCGTGGCAGAGGCTCTGATGAATTTCATCTGGCCAGTCCAATATCTTTTCAAGGGGAGCTTGAACTCCATTTCATAGAGTGGACCCCTTGGGCTGAAATAGGCCAATATTTGCCCAAAGTGACCCGGTGACAGGAACCCAGTGCTGCCTAATTCCAAGGCTCTGCTATGTCTTCCTGCCGTTGCGATGGAGAGACATGCTTACGATTTTTTGGAGGAAATTAGCAGCATGTTTTGAGGTTTGTGCTTGGAATACCAGCAGGCTTAAGGAGATTGCAGGAGCAACGTCTTTTAGGATTTTCCATTTGCAGAAGCCACAATCCTATAACAAACAGTCGGTATGAAAGAACTGGAGAGAAGTAAATTAAGGGCTTACAAGAAGCAATCAAGCCTTTGTCTAGAGTAGTGGAGCCAAGAACCCAGTTGGCCAACAAATCCTCGTGGAGCACCTACCTACTCCGTGCAGGGGTCCCTGAGGGATGATAACCTCTCAGGTTTGGGTCCTCCGGTGCAGACAGGCACGGAAGTGGATAGAAGGAGCTCTGGCCTGCGAGTCAGAAGATCAGAATTTGCAAACTTCTCTTCCTCTCCCTGGCTGCGTGGCCTCAGACAAATGAATGCACCTCTCTGAGCCTCGGTTACCATTTTGTAAGATGGAGATGCTAATTCTTGCTCAAGCCACCTTCGGGCTCGACATGCCTGTGGATCCCCGCGGAACTACGGCGTGTGGTAAACTACTATCCTCTTTATGACTGTCCCTTTGGCAGACCCAGTCTGCGGGGGAAGAGGTATGTCGTTTCTTTGTCCTCGGCACAGGGTCTGGCACATGATGGCCAGGTACTGGGTGGGCCCAGGGAGGAATAAAGCTGTAAATCTCTTACATCTTAGCTAAAATAACCTCTCCTAGTGCACATGGACCTTAACTGGAATCTTTCTGCCCTGTTGATACTTTAAATAATAAAGACCATTTCTTGTCAAGGATCCAAACTCTTCTTGTGCTGACCAGGAGTCTATCAATCCACAAGATGCTTCATTGAAATCAACTTGTTTTGCAAAACAGCTTTATGGTCTTTTGCTGATGAAGCCAGATGAATCCTGCAGCCATCAACCCCGGGGAGGGCGTTTCTCCTTTCCTGCAGCTCAATGTTCACAAATAATCTTCTCTTTTGATCCATACCACCGATTAGGCAAGGGTCCTTTGTAATTCCCGGAATCGCAGCATCGGGGACTGTCAGCTCCAAAAGGGCCCTCGAGAGTTACATATTCCTACTGCCCTATTGTAGGGGAGAAGGTCTGCTGCAGAGTGTGAAGGAACTTGTTCAAGGTCATAGAGCAGAGCCAGTCTTGCAAGGAGTGGTGTCTCTTTTCCTTAACTCAATGGAGATGGCTACTGTCCAGGACGTCTCTGGATAAAGCCAGCGGTCCTCTCTGGATACGCCGTGTCACCGAGTTGAGCCACGAAGCAGTTTCATCATCTGATGGGTTCCCAGCTCTGCCAAGTGCTCTCCGATGCGGCACTCCGCGCAGACCCTGCAGAGAGGGACACACGCTGTGGACGTTCTCATGGCCCAGCTCACGGTGGGAACATCCGAGGGCTGGAGTGGCCCTGGGGTGCTCTGCAGCGTGGGTGGAGGGGACTCTCGTTCTCCCCGGCCATAAACTCACAGGGCCGTGGGAGAGGTGGGAGAGGGCTGGTGTCCCGGAAGGCGGGCCTGAGAACGGTGGTGGGTTGGTGGCCACAAGAGCCGTCCCGAATGGCCTGTGCAGTACCTTGATCTGGAACATGCCGGGGGGGGGGGGGGCCCCCGGCTTGGTGGCTGCAGTCACAGATTAGTCAGATTCCCAGCTGGCGTCTCCGAGCAGGGAGCTGCGGTGAAAAGGCCTCAGTGACTTCCTTCCTCCTTCACTAAAGCGGGCCTGGAGAGCGAGGCCCTCGCACTGTAATTACATGTAGGCAGGAAACAAATAGCTAAGACCTGTCTCCAAGTGAGGAAGGAAGGAAGACATCCAGGGCTCTGGGGATTCTTTATCTTCTGTTCTTGAGGCGCTGGGAAAATAAGAACCGCTATCTACTTTTAAATCTTTGCCAACCCTGGCGAGGTGGGTATTATTAGCCTCGGTCCCCAGAGAAACGATAGAGTGAGTTCCCCACGGCTGCGGTGCCAGTGGGTCGTGTCACGGAGCTGGGGCTGAATGAATGACACTTCTGCCTGACTGCAGCCCCCCGCCGGTCTCTCTGCCTCGGCTGCATGTGGCCTGGACACTTTCTCTTAGAGCTCAGGGTGGCCTCCTCGCGTCGCACAGGACGCCTGACCAAGCAGGCCGAAGTCCAGGACGTGCTTTTGTCCATACCCCGTGCACCCCGGGCTCTCTTCTGCTTCTGCTTCTGCTTCTGCCCAGAGGGGAGGGGACCTCCTCTGCACAGGCTATCTGCTCAGGAGCCTGCTCCCACGGGGCCACAGCCGCCCCCCAGGGGCACCGTTTTGGTACCACGCGAAGGTACTGTGATGGCCTTATGTTAGCTGGGGTCATTGTAACTTCCCCGGGCCTCAGCCTTTCCTCTTGAAAAGTGGCTCGCTTATTCCGACCATCTGCCGCGAGCCCCGGGCCAGGCTTTAGGGCCGCACGACGCACTCACTGTTTGTATACGTGTAACCTGCCGGGCGGCAAGGCCATTCGACGACGCATCCCTTAAATTCTTACGCCCGCGTGGTGTTTCCTACTGGCCGGCCTGGTTCCCGGGGTGGGTTTCGGTAAATGCAGGCTTCCCTGCCGGACCGTGTGGGTACAAAGTAGATGACCCCGGCCTTCCCCGCGGGGCTGCCTGTGACCACCAGATGGGAGAAAGCTGTGTGTGTGGCGGGGGGGGGGGGGGTCTCTGGTTTAGATACAGGCCAGGGGGAGATGCGACAGCCAGCACCTCTTTCCCCTCTGTCAGGAGAGTGACAGAGCCCCGCCCCACCCCAAATCACCTGCACTGGTGCCCCCTGAATGCACAAGCCCTTTTAAAGCAAATGTATTCACTTCCCTCTGCTCTGCAGGTGGGTTTCTAGTCTTTGTCAGGATGCACCCTCTCGCCTCTGGCAACATCCCTGGGCCGCAGCCTTGGGGCTGCTTCGCCCTCCCCCCGCCAACCCCAGAGCGTGAACCACAGTGCCGTGGGCACAGTAGGTGCTCTGGTTACCTTGCTTGAAGAAGTGCCTAAGTGAACGCCCCGGGGCGGTTCTGACCTTGCTCTGGCATCCCAGGGCTTTGTGACCTCGACTTGCTCCCCCTTCCCCACGGGGCGTCGGCTCGCAGGGCCCCTGACGGGCTCCCCTTCTCCGCAGGCCCAGGCCCATTAAGCCGCCATCTTCTCTCACCTCATTATCGCCTTGGCCTGGGGAAGCCTCCGGGGAGGCAGGGAGCCCCCGAGAGCGCCGAGGTTTCCCCTCGGCCCTCCCCCTAGAAGACAGAAAGCCAGCCCCGGAGGGAGTGTCTTCTCTGCGGTTTGAGAGAGGCCTTCTTTCCTCGAGCTCATTAAACACACCCCAGAGCGGTGGGAGCCGGGGCCAGTGGCCCGGGCGCCTTCGCCTTTGGCTTCCCAGAGCCCGGCCTTTATCTCCGGGGCAGATAAGAGCCCAGGCTGGGCTCTGTGCTGCGGGAAGGGGAGCGGGGGAGGGGAGCGGGAGCCATAAAGCAGGGCGGGGCCGACGGTTTAGGACGGGGTCCTGGGGAGCCAGAGCTTTGAACTCTGCCCTCTGAGGAGGGGAGGTCTTTATGGCAGGAATGAGGCCCCCAGCCGGGCCCTGGGCACCCTGACTGCCGGGCGAGACAACAGAGCCCCCGAGGTGGGACCGGCTGCCGGAAACGGGGCTCCGGGGCTTTATTGACTTGTAAACGACACCGTTAAGAGGAAACCCTCACCTTGGCTGGAAACAGCTGTGTGAGTGGCTGTAAATCTGGCCGGGACCGCGCGTGTTCCCTGGGCGGGAGAGGGGTGGGGGGAGGGGGAGACAGGGGTGCGGTGGGACAGGCCCGTTGTGACCGTGCACAGGAAGGGGGCTGATGAGCGGGGCTGAAGACAGATCCCCCCCCCAAAAGGGGAGAAAACCATTCCCAGAAATATACGAGTCATCGTCGGCAATGTCAACCCAGAGAAAGGGACATCGCGAAGCCCGGGGCCGACAGAAAACCGTGTGCGCGCGGTGAGGGGAGGGACTGTGGGTCGAGCCCATCTTGGCTTCGGCAGACAAGTCCATGAGCAGCCCAGGCCTCCCATAAAAACGAAACATAATAATACCCTTCAAAGGGTATAATAATTCAGGGAGATGATAGGAGAGCACCTTGCCCATTGAGAGGCTCGAGAAATGAATCTTCTTTCTTCTCCCGTTGATAACAAAACAATATGGAGATTTGGGATCTTGGCTAGCTTTTTTATTGGGGGTGGGGGAATCTTTGTCATTTCGTGGAATTAGATAACTTGGCAAAACAAAAGACAAGACTGCTAGCTGCTTAAGGGCAGTGAAGGTCCTGCCTTATTCGGTTTTGTTTGCTTAGTTGCTAATAAGAAACTTGGTATGGAATACTGAGAATGTGTTTGATAAATGTTTGATTTAAATAAGAGAGGGAAGGAAGGGAGGGGGCAGGAGGGAAGGTAGGGAAGGAGAGAGGAGAGAAGGAAGGAAAGGGGGAAGGAAGGAAGGAAGGAAGGAAGGAAGGAAGGAAGGAAGGAGGGAGGGAGGGAAGGAAGGAAGGAAGGGAGGAAGACAGGAAGACAGGAAGACAGGAAGTAGAAAGGAAGGGAGCAAGGAAGAAGGAAGGGTGGGAGGAAGAAGGGAAGGGAGGGAGGTGGGGAACAAGGTCATTTTCTTCTGGATCCAGTCTAGTAGTTGGAACCCAGAGGAGCGAAGGAAGTAAGATTTGCTGATTTCAACGGCCAGCCAATGCATCATAAAACTCCGTTCTCACAGCCACCAGGAAGACCCTGAGAATAATTGCCCAAGTTGTGCCATTTACTTATTAACCAAGAAGTAAATTTGCGTTATGGGCACGTTATTTACTCTGTTGGAAAATACCTTCTCGGCGCCCCTGTTTTCTCCTTTCTGATGGTAAGATTTAAATGAGGTAATATTCGTGAAGCTGTTAACACAGCAATTGGAAAACAGTAAATGCTCAACACGTGCTGGATGTTATTACCCTTCAGGATGGAGAGGCTGGCCCAGAGCGGTTAAGTAACTTGGCTAACCCACGAGGCTGAACGATGTCATAGCCCGGATTCCCACCTGGCTCCTAACGCTCACACTCCGGATTCTGCGCTAGGTTCTGGTGCTGCGGAAACACCGTGAGCCGTCGTGGTGTGAGGGATCCGGCAGCCGGATGGTCTCGACGTGAATTGTCAGCTGTAACTTCTTTGGAGATACAGCTTATCCGCTCAGCTCGTGAAAAGTTCACGGGCCCTTGGGATCCTTATCTCTGCCTGAGGAATACCTTCGTTCATTAATGAGCAAACTACCGAGTAAATAAATAAACACAAGCAAAGGGGAGGCCGAGATGTTAGGCAAACATTTGCAGAGCACGATGCCAGGCCTTTCCGGGGCTGGGAGCTGCCGAGATCTACCCCCGCGCAGATGCCCAGGGCTTGCCTGGAAGACAGAAAATCTCCTTCAGAAAACCCCTGGGGGCTACCTGGACTCTGTGCCCCAGAGACGCCTTCTATCTCTGGGCATCAGTTTCTCATCTGTATGACAAGGACGCAGGGTGACATGTGGCACTTCACAGCATTTTGATTCCTTAATGATTCACAGTGAAAGAGATCTGAACCCAGGAATCGCCAGGGTGCCTCCGTGTCTGAGAGTCCAGTCTGATTTTTGTAGTGGCTTGAGTGTTTTCAATGATTTGGGGGGATTATCAAATGCAGACATAGCTCTTACTGCGTGCAAGGCCCTGTTCGAAGTGCTTACAAATACTGATTTATTCGCTCCTCACCTCAGTGCCACGAGGAAGTCACCTTTATTCTCATCCCCTTTTTACAGATGAGGAAGCGAGGCCCGGACTTTGGAGAATCCGAACCTGAGCAGCCTGGGTCCTCCAGGCTGAGCAGTCTCCTCTCAAAACTGATGAAAACAGAATGGGTTTCAATTTGCCACATGCCTTTCAATCTTCCAAGGAAGGATGGAATAAAGCAGGTAAAGGCGGGGGCAGAGAAAAAAAATGGCTGATGTGTAGAAAACGGAGATGCGTTCGAGAGAAAGCGGGTGGGAGGGTCTGGGGATCTGGGGTCTCTTTTTTGGGGGGGCAGAAAGGAGGATGTCTGGGGGCACCTGGGTGGCTCAGTGTCATGATCTCACGGGTCGTGGGTTCGAGCCCCACGTTGGGCTCTGTGCTGACAGCTCAGGGCCTGGAGCCTGCTTTGGATTCTGTGCCTCTCTCTCTCTCTCTGCCTCTCCCCTGCTTGTGCTCTCTCTCTCTCTCTCTGTCAGAAATAAATAAACATTAAAAAAAAATTAAAAAATAAAAAGAAAGAAGGACGTCTGGGCACCTGTGCTGGAATCGGTCCTCCAGAACTTACCCTCACCCAATGACTTCCTGACCATCCATCTAACAATTCCGTGCACCCCTCCTTGATTCTTGGGACGTAGCTGGCAGAGACCAACGCCCCGGGACCGCGAGTCCTGTTCCGGGTCCCAGATTGGCAGAGAAAACTTCTGGAGGAGAGGCAGGGCTTCTGATGTCCTCGCCTGAGCCCTGGCGGCCATACCTGCCACATTCCATTCTTCAGACTTTAAAAGCCTCCTATTCTTTTACAAATCACTGGTTCAGGCCTAAATTATCCAGATAATTGAGCCGCCTGGCCCGTCACTTTGTTGGCATAGACACCATTTATGTGTAATCTGAGAATATTCTATCTGCTGCGGAGTTTCTTCCAAAGGCATTATTTCTAACCTTCTTTAAGAACAAATTTCCTGTTGCCATGGAGATCATTTTTCGGCTAATTTTATCGGGTGCAGGAGCCTGGGCTGGGAGCCCCTTTTGCACATTTCCCAAGTTGTCTGCTCTGGAGAGTCCTGGCTTGTCTTTGTCAAAGAGGCTCTGGACCTCAGCGTCCTTTGAACCAGACCAGTCAGGTGATGGCCAACACTTTGGTTTTGAATTCTCAAAGCCTTGACCTCATTTGTATAGGCACTTCCAATTTGTTTTAATGAGAAAACCCTTAGAGATTGGGGGGCTCAGTTTTATAAATACATGCTTTCGGAGACCTGCTTGTGAGCAAACTGTTAAAACGAGACATTCCTGAGCTAGAAAAGACTAGAAAATTCCAAAAGCCTAAAAGGCATTTCTTGAGCACCGAACCTGCCGTCGCTGAGGTGCACGAGGGGAAGCAGAGAAATAGGTCCTGAAATCTGTCCCCAGAAAGTTTGCCGTCTGGTGAGAATTAAATCGCTTGAGAGCTGGGAGGGCCCCCAAGGATCATGCCTTAATATTCTCATTTTGCTAGTTGGGAAGTTAATCCACACTCTCGGAGCTGGTACTCGGGAGAGTTGAAAACCAAGGTGTCTTGGCTCCCAGTCACTTGGGACAGAGTTGGTATAAGCTGGGCCACACCTCTCCTCTAGGCTCCGCCCCCTCTTCCCACCGGACCTGCTGTGCTCCCTACTGTCCTCACCTCCGTGCCTTGTACATTCAGGTACTGCTCTCTGGAACCCACTGTCGCCCTTTTGGACACTTTGGTATCCTTCAAGGCTCGTCTCAAATGTCACCTTCTCTGAAATTCTCTAGCCTGGCTTTCATGCGGAGCCCGCACTCTGCTAGAATTATTTGTGTGTGCGTGCCATCTTGTCCAGTGAACACGGAACCACTTGAGCATGGTGTTCCATTAATCTCTGCGTTACGGTGTCTAGGACAGGACCTGGCATGGAGGGTGCCCTCGATGAGTGCCCGAAGAAATCAATGGTCCTAAAAGCCAACATAGAAGAACTTACCATGCACAGGACCCTGTATGAATGCATTAACTCTGTTTTGGTCTGTTTGGGCTGCTGTGACACAATGCCACGGACTAGGTGGCTTATAAACAGCAGAAATAACTTGCTTAAAGTTCTGGAAGTCTGAGGTCACGCTGCCGGCACGGTCAGGGGAGGGCACTCTTCTGGGTTGCAGACTGCTGATCCCTGGCCATGTCCTCCCACGGTGGAAAGTCCCAGGGGGCTCTCTGGAGTCTCTTTTATAAGGGTGCTGGTCTCACTCAAGAGGACTCCACCGTCATGATTTGAGCACCTCCCAGAGGCTCCACCTCCTAATACGGAAACCTTTGGGAGTTAGGATTTCAACACATGAATTCTGGGCGGACACAGGCATTCAGATCATGGCAGCCTCACTTAATACTCTCACGGATCCTAGGCGGTCGGTACGATTATTACCCTGTTGGGCTGTGGAGGCCCTGGGACACCGCAGAATCACCTGCCTAAACCGCTCAGCTGGAGTGTCCTGGAGTGGGGGTCCAGTCCCAGGCGATCTTGCCTCCAGTGGCAGCTGTAGCAGCTACTCTGGATGCTTTTTCAGTCAAGTTCAGTCCCGTGCCGCAGGTGTAAACCTCCTTGTGTAGCTGAGGACATGGACGCTTAGTGAACAATAAAATGACTCTTCCAAGGTCACACACACACACACACACACACACACACACGCACATCCGGCCACGGAGCTGGGATTTGAAGCTGGGAAGTCTGGCTTTGAAGCTGCTGCTTTCCATCATGTCAGCAGACCGAGCTTAAGGTTGGGCGTAAAACAACATGGCGCTGACCATAAATAATTTAGAGGCAGTTTCTCTCATGAGACTTTCCAATTTTCTCTTCTAATCCCTACTTTAAATACGTCAATTGAGAGCTAGTTCCTACTCTGTAGCGCAGAAAACCCCAAGGCTTTTCTATTCTTTGTGTGTCTGAGCCACATAATAAGCGTGGGTACAGGGTGTGTGTGTGTGTGGGGGGAATCAGCTCTCTCCATCAGAGGAAAACGTCCCCGGTACTGAGACTGCGAACACATGGCTCTTGATTCTGTTGCTGCTATTTAAATAATATCTTTAACTTGAGATCCTTGAACGTGAACTTTTCAGTCAAAGGAATACATGGAAAGGAACCAAATTATCTCCCCTGGAGAAAGGAAGACGCTGCCCCCCCCGTCTGTGTCGGGGACCCCCAGGAAGGCCAGCTACTTGCAGTGTGCCCGGGTGACATGTGACGCTCGTTTACATTGCCCTTTTCCCCCAGTAGTGGATCGGGAACGTCCTCTAGCCTAGATGTGGAAGGCTGACGGCAGGAACCGTCAGTCCTGGTCTTGTCGCCGGTGCCACCTTCTCCTGGGGACTCGGCTCGTCCAGGCCAGGCTGGTCACCACATGGGGCAGTAGCGGTTTCAGAAGGGAACTGGCTGTCGGGCTCCTCCTGTGCTGTTACCCTCACTGTGTATATGAATGGCTGAAAAACTAAGGGAATCAACAGGCTGATGGCCTTGGCCGCAAGAGCTTAGAGCTCGCCTGCCGGGGAGACTTCCTGGTGAGCCCTTGCTTTGTCCTGATGGTCACATGCCTGCCCTTTTGCCCCAGCCTTCAGCTCTTACTGGGCTCCTGGAAGCACATTAATGTATTACTTCGAATCATCATGTTCACCACCAGACCCGCCTGCAGGGGTTGTAGTAGGACTCTAGTGAAAGCCCACAAGTCCTTCTAGAGCAAATGTCCCTGATCCACGCTCTTGCGTCGTATGGACGGGTTTGCAGGAGCTGGTCTAGGCCCGGCCGAGTCAGGAGACAGCTAGTGGTCAGGATGATAGGTTATCGGGGCGTTCCTGTAGACCACACAGACAGCTGCCCAGAATTTCCCTGCCGTCTGCTTTCTCCCCAGTCAGTCACCATGACCTCCTCCCAGCTGTTCTGACATTCCATTCTCAAGGCCTAAGGCGTACTCGGTGGCCAAGCTAGCTGTCCCATCACTCCCTGGATTCTTAGTGCAGGAAATGAAACAGCCCACCATGGCGGAGTCTCCATTTCAGGGATCCGGAGGACATAGTCACGTTTGAGGCAGGACCGGCATTGGCGAAGGAGGCAGGGCACGGTCAGCGCGGGAGCAGGGAGGACACTCTGGAGGGTAGAGGAGGCAAATGTTTAGAGGCAGCTCCTTGTAATAGTCAGGAACTCTGTAATAGTCATTTCCCTGACTCTTTCAGGAACCCGATTCGGTAGACGTTCTCATTCCCAGCTAACAGGTAGATAAAGTGAGGCCCGGGCCGACTGCCACCTGGCTACAAGAGACACAACTGGCTGAGTCTGGTTCCAAAGCCCGGCTTCTATCTGCGCTCACAGCCCCATCAGAATCAGCCCTGAAACAAGGTTCACATTCCGAGTCGTTCATTATACAGGGAAAGAGCTTCTGAGGCCTGTTGAGGTTGATTTGCATAATTCATTTTTAGAACATTAATTAGCCGGGATGTGTAATAGTTCTTGTGCCAATTTGTGTTTCAATTTCAAATGCAAATACAAATTAGCAAATGTTATTCCTGTGGCACCTTAAGGATGAAACATTTGCTGCTTGTAGTGAGTATTAATCTTTACATTTCTGAAACTATGACTGATAGAAGCGATAATATCCTCTAATTTGAAGGATCGAGAAAAAAAAATCCAGTCTGGTGGGGGAGGGCGAGTAAGAGGTAATTTTTTTCAGCAAAAGAAAACAGCATGTCAGGCATCCATCCATCCATCCATCCATCCATCCTTCCATCCATCCCTGCATTCATCCATCCATCCGTTAAATAGCATTGAGTGTGAAGTAAGTGTCAGACTGTGTGGTAGGAGACAGAGATGGTTCCAGAGAGCTCGCACACATAGCGGGAGAGAGTTCTGTCACTAAACAAGTACACTATATGGGGATAGGCTTCAGAACAGAGCTCAGCTTTCAAGTGGTGGAACCGAAAGACCGGAAGTACCCAGGAATGGTGCCCAGGCAATGGGACACCGGGCGAGCCAAATCTTGAAGTGGCAGTTAGCGCAAGCCACGTAAACGCAGATTTTGGTGGCAGGGCGGTGGTGGCAGTGAGATCTCTGTGGGAGAACACCTTCCGTGTGAGATCTGCCGTGCCCGAGGAACTCCAAGCCATTCTGCCCAGTTGAAACGTAGGCTCATTTGCAGGTGGGAAAGCAGA